GTCACCATGACCAAACACAGACTTCCATCTTGGAATACAGAATGTGCGCTAAAAAAGGACTAAGTGGATGAGTGCAGTGGCGACTCCAAGCCCAGTGGAGACTCCTTGTCCCCCACATGCAGCCTGAGAATCCCCACTTCTGGGCCTTTCCACACACCATTCTTCCCCTGCTGAGTTATCTTTCTTTCTCCTCCAATCTAAATTCCACAAGGCTCTTTTGTTACGCCCCAGTGATTTCTCCATCCCAAACCCCATAATTGTGTAATGTATTTGGCACTTACTTTCTGCCTTGTGGAGCAGATAGCCTTTATAAATTATTATGTATTGAAATCAACTATGTTCCAGGCAATAGACAAGGAATGTTTGTTGCTACAGGGATTATCTCCAATGCTCACAATAACCCAGGAGGTATTATTGCTATTCCCCATTTAACAGATAAAAAAGTAAGATTCAGAATGTTTTTTTAAAAATTTGCCAAGGTCACCCAGCCAGTGAATGAGAGAGCCAGGATTTAAAATGAGGCTCCCAATACCAAGATCTTTCTACCATGGTACCCTGCCTTATTTTGTTCACTAATTTTGCTCATTTATTTAACTAATGTGCATCTACTTCTTAATTGGAACAGAACTCACTAAGATGAGTCAAATAAAGGAGAGTTAATAAAGAGAGCCAGTGAAGCCATAGTCTACAGGCATTTGAGTAGGGACAGGGTAAAGAAGATCTAGGATGATCCTGGGCTTCTGGCTTCAGGAAAGACCGTTATGCCTTTATGCAACGGCATGAACCAGACAGAGTGGTTTGGCAAGGAGGGTGGGATGTTCCATTGCAAGCACACCAAGTCGAGGTGCCCGTTCCATCCACACAGAGCTGCCCAGAGGCAGGCGGCATAGTCTTTGGTGTCAATTACTTGTGACCTCAAATATGAGCCCACCACTCAAAACTACATACCTTTGGACAAGTTCACTCTTACAGTCTCAAATACTCATGTGTAAGATTATATCCCCACCTTAAGGAATTTTGAGGATGAGAGAATTCGACAACGTGTACAAAGTGGTTAATATGATACCTGGCATAGGGTGAGAATTCAACAAATGTTATTTTATTACTAAAAACACAAATGATTACAATAAAGGTGGCACTGGAGTGGAAGACATCTGGGCTGGAAAATTATATTAGATATTGCTAGTGTATGAGTAGTGGTTAAAGGCATAGAAATCAATGAGATTGGCAAGGGTACAGAGCAGAGATCACAACTCAAATGTCTCAGGACCAGACAGTAAATGTGTGCGGTGGTGTAAGTGCACTGACACCTTGTGTGGGTGGTGGGAACTCGGGGGACATAAGGTGTGCAGAGTATCCTTCAAGAAGGAAGTTGCCACTCTGCTTGAGACGACTGCTGCCTTGCCAGAATTGGACCCAGCATCACCAGATCTCCTGTGTTTTTTCTGTTTGTTTGTTTGCTTTGTTTTGTTTTGTCCAAAAAAGTCCAGAAATTTCCCAGTGTTTAAATGTCAGCAACTAAATTCAACTTAACAAACAAATAAAACATATACATAGGCCAGACTGTGGCTTATTGACTGCCAGACCATGGCCTCTGATGTAGAGAAAGAAGACTGAGAGCAGAACTCTGAAAAACACCAGCATGGAAGGGGTGGGCAGAGAAACTGGACAGCTGATGAAGACAGAGAAAGGTGAGACTTGAGAGTGAAACAGAAGTCTAGGAAAGGATGAAGCCAAAGGAGGCCAGGAAAGAGGAGTGTTCCAGGGAGCAGAGACTCATCACCACCTTCAAAGGTAGTGCAGGGATCACTGTGGTCAGATTATGCCACACAAACACACTAATAGTTGTAACCTCTTCTTCAGACAGCAGATGTGACTATAACAAAGAAGAAGGGATGTAAGAGACCATCCCAGGGTTAGAAAAGAGGTCCCCAGGGAAGGAAAAATAGTGCATGGTAGAAATCTGTATGAATCAGTCTCTTAAACTATGAAGGGGTCTCTGAGGATTTCCAGTAAGCATCTTTTGAAAAGCAAAGATGGGCTTTGTCAGCCCAACCATCCTCTGAATCTAGCTCTGATGGCTAAAACTTGAGGCAGGTAGGGAACTGGAAAGCTCGTCTCTCCTCATCAGAGATTTAGCTAATTAGAACATGGAGAAGAAGAGAAGGATAAATAAAAACTCCAACACTCTAACCAGTAGTGAATTCTTAGATCTTTTATTTGTTACCATGTAAATATCAATATTATTATTAGCTATATTATTAATATCAATATTAGCATTCTCTGAGAGTCGGGAAAGCGCTAAATTCAAAATTATGGCTTACAATAAGGGAACCACCCAATATGGTTAAGAACAAATTATGATTTGGATCAAGATTGGAATCCCTTAAGCATTCTCTAAATAGAAAATCAGTAAGTAATAACTGGTAACATCTTTTGGAAGAATAACCAGGACGGCCAAGGGAAGATGTAAGCTTTTCCAGGAAAAAATGAATTCTACATAGTAAAGGAGGCAGTTACACCCCTTGACTCAGAGTAAGCAGCACATAGACATTTATATGTGCATTCACAGCTAACACTATGAGCATGAGATTCCAAACTGTGATACATCGAACACTCCTTTCATTTAACAAGAGAGGAAAGCAAGGTCCAGAAGTGGGAAATTATTTGCCCAAGATCACTTGGCTAGTTAGTGACTGAGGCAAATTTAGAATTCTGATCTCTTGACTTCTCACTCAGTTCTCTTTCCACAAAACTATGCTATGTAAAGAGATGGGCTAGTTATTCCTCTGAAAGACATGACTTAAAAGGAAAGAGACACAGAATACATATATGTTCATGGGCGGTGGTAGAGGAGTGAGGCTAGTGCATGGCAAAAACATCCCTGAATGACTGAAGGCTGGCATGGGTGGAGCAGGTCAGGCGTACCCAACCATGGTGGGCACCTATGAGGAGCTCCATGACACCAAGGACAAACAGCCCACGCAACAAGGCTAGGCTGGCGACGGCACTGTACATCGATGAGAAACAGAGACAGAAATGTCAAACTTAAACATGTAAGCATGCATTTTCTTAAATATTACCCAAAGTCATAAACATTTACTTTTTCAGATATCACTCACTGAGTAGCTACAACTTGGCAGAACATGGTCAATAACAATAAAGTAAACCACACACACACACACACACACACATTTGGGCAGTCAAGACAGAATACCTTGAATGTCAGAATATCCCACAACATCTTCCTCAGAACGATTCACATAAAGCATTAAGGTCAGGGCCTAGTCTACAGTAGGCCCACCATAAATGTCTAGTTATGATTTTTTTAATAACCCATTTTTTATTTTTTGATTATGATTATGTAAGTGCCTTGGCAGCCACTCAGAGCTTGAATACTCTTGCCTTATGCAGAATTTCCTTTATTAAGCATTTTTATTTAGCTTCTTTCCATAACATATTAAAATATAGGGGTGGGAAGATAGTTGGAGATAGATACCTAAGAGGAAATAAAACTATATTAAACAGAAAAATAAATCTACATGCCAATTAGTGTAAGGACAAACAGCCTTCTACCTCTCTGGGGATTCTAGAGATAACCATGGCATTGCTGCCCAGCACAGCTCCTGGGAGGGCACAGATTCACCCAGAAAGATTCCACCATATGTTGTGTCTGTCCTCTATGTAAAGTGGCAGGAAAACATTTCCTGCAATTTAAAAAATTACTAAAAATTTACATTTGTGAAAGTTTTGGCACAGAGAACTCTTACAAAGCACCTGGAAATTTGACATAAAAATATTACATTTGTCCATAGTGCCATATATCAAATTAAGGGGGACATCCACTTAAACTGAAATACGGGGATTCTATCCTCTCAAAACCTTGGCATTGGCTGATTATAAGTCCTTCCAGTTTCAATCATCAGTGTAAGACTATACGTGTTGTTATGGTATTTCTAGACAGAGATCATTATTTTTCATAAGGTACAGTAGCTTCTTAGTGCTGTTTGGCATCAAATTGCATTTGATAATGGTATCACTTCATTTCTTGAGACCAGCAGTGTGGTATATGGGCACAAGACATGGTGCTTGGTGTGTTTCTCACATAGGCAGGAAGATGAGCACGTGTTGCTCTGCTTGTCTGTGACAAAGAGTGTGTTTTCCTCTCCAGACTGTGAAAATCCTTATTGAGTTTTACCCTGAGAAGTTCAGTTCACACTAGCCTGTGCAATAAAGATAACTCTCACAACAAATTATCTCACCCATCCCCCATCATGTGGAAAAACCTCCCATAAGTCACTGATTAGATTTTTCACAGCATCACACCCCCAGGATGGTTCTTTGACGGGAAAATTTCTATTAACTATGTTTGGAGGCTGGCAAAGCAAAGTGGTAGAAAAAACAGCACATGGTATTTCTTACATGGCTATTTGAGTCCCGATTTTCACAAGCTGATTTTCCTTTTGAACTCCAACCAGGTGAGGAAGTTTAAATGTAGGCAATAAGCGAACAGCAACCAAGTAAACTGAAGAGGCCACTTTGGCCCCCAGGAGCTGGTTCACATCACCTCTGGCAGATTCATAACCCCTTCCTTGTTCCTTTTCATTCTGACAATGCCACAAACTGTCAGACTTCCAGCAAATGGTAGTCAGGTGCTTTTTTTCAGTGACATGAGGTTATTATGATAATTGCTTGAACAATAGGAACAATGTGTCTTGGAGAAGAGGCACCTGAATTCTCTTTCTCGCTAAGGTTCGTAGTGGGCTTGAGATAATTGTGTGGGATGAGGAATAGGCCATTTAGACAACATAAGGATAAATAAAGTTAAGTGGTATATAAAATAAGTTTTAAATATCCCTGAGGGGTGGGGGTAGGATCTGCTCCTGGTCACATCCTGTGTGGCTGAGCTTGGACGACTCCTTCACTCACTCGCAGGGAAGAGTCCGTGTCCTGTCCTCCCATCATGCTGATGTCTGGTTTTAGGTGCTGTCATCAGACTTTCAGTGGGCACAGAATCCACCAGGGTTTTGATGGATGAGAATCAGTTCTCCACCATTCACCTGGAGGTCATCGCAGGAGGTGTCATGGGTGGTCACATTCAGGTAGACTTTGTCTTTGAAACCCAGAGAGGCCACCATGATGGAGTTGACAGACCTGACCTTGCTCAGAACAAGGGGCTCCCGACCCTTCCGGTAGTGAAGGCTGATGTTGACCTCCTGGGAGAAGTAGCCCTTCAGGGAGATGAGATAAAACCCATCACAGCTGATGATGATGGAGTTGTTTTGCACCGTCATGGTTTCGCCCTGGTTTGGGGATGTGATGATGAAACCTTTCTCCTTCTCACATCCTAAAGAGAGTAGGGTAAGAATATTTTTTAAGTGACTTCTAAACATAGTACTGGGCAATAACTTTCTAATACATGTGAAATCAGGTGAAAAGAAAGTGATAGGAAGAGATTCTTAACAGAGAGCAAGAGAGCACTGTGTTTCTACCTGTAGAATGGAAGAAGAGGCAAAGCTGATACTAGAGGCCAACAGTGTCTCAAACAGGGCTGGAATTCGGCAGCTGAGAGATTACAGCAATTGTTACAACAGACCTATGGCAGGAAAGGTGGCTTCCAGGTTTCTCTAATTTTTCAGAACTAGGAGGGGTTGGCCACTACAGCACTTCCTTTCTTGCCCAGTGGATGGACCACTCAAGGGGGTAGGGAGGGGGCAATACTCCTGGCCCTGGTCCTGCACACTACCCTTGCTTTGAAGCTTGATTCAAAGCAGTTGCTTTTAACTATTCCCTATCTTTTTTCCATCTGACCATGAAATGCAAAGTTTCCACATGCCCCTGAGCATCAGACTTACCAACAGCCTTTGCTACTGCTTTTGCCAGCAGTCACTTAAGCTTAATGATGCAGCTAAGAACGGAATGCCTGTGGGCTCAGGGTGGGCTCCATAAGATGCAAGCAGAAGAGCTGAAGGACAGACTTGCTTCTCTTCTACCTCCTATTTTTTCCCTCTAATTTTTTCTGTAAAATACCTTGGGAAGAGTCACTGCCACAGGAGAAAGAAAATGAGAAAGAGGAGGAGAGGAAGTGGTAGCTTTGGTAGTTTTGTGCAGAGCTATTCCAATCGCAACAAAAAGCCTAAGTTTCTTTTATTTCCATATGAACTCCAATATCATACTGAATGAGCAAGTAGCCACTTCTTGAACACAGCCAGTTCTGGCCCATGTACCTTGGTGATGCAAAAGAATACATCTTTAATGCTAGACGCAGTTCTGTAATTCTTGTCTCATGCCTGTCCCAAGGGTCATTCTTGGAATGGAAAGTGAGGATTCCCTTATGGAGGGCAAGAGATATGTCCTTTAAGACTCAGGAGAACTTTCTAAAAAGTGAATATTTATATAGAAACCACTAGTGGTTGTGCCAGTATCAATCATGGACCTAAGCAATGCTCTCACTGGACTCAAAGTATAACCTTTGCTTTCTGTCAAGGGCTTTAACTCTCATAAAGGTATAATCTTGTCCCAGAAAAAAAAATAGCAGGAGACAATGTGTCTTACAGTCAGGCAGACTTCTAAGAAGCAAAGCCTCAGTTTTCTTAGCTGAAAAATTAGAATAGTTCCTACTCAAAGAGTTCCTGTAAGGAATTAGTGAGGCACATAAAGTAATTAATACAGAGACAAACACATATTTGTTAACTATCACTCTTCTTTTCTTTTGTATACACCTTTGTCCCTAATAAAAATAATATGCACAAAGATCAGAATATCACATGTTCTCACTCATATAATGGACCTTGAACATCCAGTGTAATACTATAAGAAAATGACTGACGGTACTGGGAAACTATGGGGGGGGGATGGGATTAACAGTAGCAAATATCTGTCTGGGGCTGGGAAAACACCTCTTATCAACAGGGTGCCTGAATGAAACGTAATTGTACACCTAACACTTAACTATACCCCACAAAACCATAATAAAAAATACTGATTAATTATAAAAATAATAATAATAATAATAATATGCAGGCTCTAAAAACTCTGGGATTTACATGGAATTTAATTCCTTTCATAAGGAAAAATAGCAATCTTGTATTCTGGAGGAAATTAAGAGACGAGAAAATTCTTTCAAACATATAAATCAATCAAACTTTTGACAATACTTACTGGTATATTGTACTTTTATACTTTGAATTGGAGGATACTGAGGTGACACCTGAGGGAGGAAAAAGATATACTTTTAGGGAAAAAAAAGTGAACAAATGGACTTGGAAATTCAAATCCAATGGAACAGAAATACAAGAGCCTGTAGAGGGAAAGACGTGATGAAAGACTTGGTTTTTTCAGTGAAGATTGAACCCAGACTTCCTACCTGCCCCCCCCCCCTTGCTTTTTCATAGCACCTCCAAGATAAGTTAGAGAACTATTATGTTCTTTCATGCAAGAATCTGAGACATGTCCTCATTTCTGCCAAATTCTTATTTGGTATATTGTTTTGATGCACTGAGCCCCAATTTTCCATTTTGGATAACAGAGTGAAAACAGTCTATATAAAATTAATAAACATCAGTCCACAGGGTAAAAGCCATAGAAAAGACCCAAACCCTGAAAAGCTGCTGCTATAGTTAGAATTTATCAAACCTTTTGTTTCTAAGTTTGGGTTCACTCCAATAGAGGGCAATTGATTGTCTTCATGTCCTGATCCTGGGGATGGGGGAAGCTGCTCCTTCAAGACTGATAACATATATTTCCTTAAACAATGGACCTAAGACTGCATAGATCTCCTTGAAGATAAAAGCAGAGGCTGAAGGACAAATGTGGCTCCAATCTCCAGGGACCTCACCTTCCCACATCTTCCTCCTAAACAACCTCCAAAATGGCTTACTGCCTAGGGGCTAGTAGCCCATGGTCACAGGACTTGCTTTATGAATAGTGTTTATGTAAAACCTAAGAAGATATTTTCAGGCTTTGAATTATGATGAACCTGTGGCCCCACCTGGGTTCAGAACACATACCAGGAAGCTAACTTCTCCGATCCTGCGACACCCCCTCCCAGAAATTGACTCTGTGACATGAAGGCAGCTTCAACACCCCCATGACATCATCAACCAAGCAGCAGTCCCTAGTTCCTCGTTCACCAAATCCCCTTTAAAAATCCTAGTCTCTGAATTCTCAGGGAGATGGATTTGAGACATATCTCCCACCCTCCTCGCTCAGCTGCCTTGCAGTTTTAAACTCTTTCTCCACTGTAATGGCTGAATCAGTCTTGTTTTTTTCTGGGCAACAGGCATAAGAAACCGGTCAGCCTGTAACAAGAGCATTTAATGGCTATCTTGTTAAGAAATCTACTCACTCATAGAGATTCCCTCATGGAGAGGGCTGTGACCAATCAATCCATAGTGGCCACGGACTCCCAGAATGCACTAGGAGTAAGTTCTGGATGCTTCCTGCATAATGGTTTTTCTGCTGTAACACAGGAGTAAGAACATCCTATTTTCAGGGGCACAGCCAACAATAACTGTTCTACTCCTTCAGAGTTCAGTAGATTGGGTGCAGCTTTTTTCTAACATTGAGTCTTTCCCTTCTCTTCAACAGCTTGAAAAACCTGACTTGAACCAAGTCAGTACTCAACAGCAAGAAAAGAAATAAAACAGTGGAGAAGAAGCCTGGTAGATAAAATGTTTATAGTAATCTAGTGGTTAAAAGAACAATATGGAACCAGTTTCAACATTTATTAAGTAAAAAAAGAAAGGCAGAATTATATGTAAAGTACATTGACATTTGTCTTAAAAATAATAATAATGCTTGCAGTGGACACCGAATTGATCTAAAATAATATATTAATACAAGAAACTAGTTGCAAATTTTGCCTCTGAACAAAGAAATTGGAAGCCTGAGGTCAGGAGGAGGGACACTACTTTATATGGCCTCCTGGTTGTTTATTTGTTTATTTTTAATTTTGTATTATATGCTTGTATTGCCTACTAAAAAGAAAAATAGGAAAAAAGCCCAGGCAACCCCCTTGGTTCCCACCCACTGTGGAAGCTTTTCTGTCCTCTCAATAAATCCTACTTTCTCACTTAAAAAAAAAAAAGCCTATTGTGCCTGACAAAAATGACACCTCTTCCGGCAAAGTTATTTTTGGTGAGATGTCTTGTCAAAGGTGTAGGGAGGGTGTGTTTTCATGCTGTGAGTAGTGGAATCCCTGACTCCCACTCTCCGGGCACACTCATAGCATCAGTTACGCGGATTCCGCTGGGGACTGCCCACACACATGAGAAATTCCCTGTTTCCCTTATGAATATAATAACAAGCTGAAACCCATAGGCAGTGCTGGAAGAAAGGAGAGAACTTTTGTGAGTGCTGCCAATGGCTGGGTTGTAGGAGCAGTGTTATTAATAGTTTAATGTGTTAGCACATGGAAAGCGATGTTGACTTGGATAGAAATGGAAGTCTATAGCTCCCTCCCCTCTGTTCCCTGTTTGTGGCAACTGAATTAATATTTCTTGTGCTTAAGGCAATGCTATAGAAGAAGACGTGTCAAAAGGTAGATGACTCTATCACCACATCCCCTAAGTAAATAAATGTCTCCACTGCTCTGTGGGCCAGTTGGTGTCAGCATGACACCTGTAAGAGTCAGAAGCACAATAAGCACAGGGCTCAGCACACAGCAACTTGGTTCCAAGGCTAGGCAGACAGGTACTGTGTCATTTTAGGCACATTTCATAATCTTCCTAGAGGTCAGTTTCTCATCTTTAAAACTCACTAGAAGATCATGAACATCCCTTTAGAAGGAACTTTCTATAATTTAAAATTTTAAAGTTGCAATTTTAAGTCAGTTTTAATAAAAGAGGAAAAAAATGAAACTTCCTCATTCCCAAATTTACTTCAAGCTCCCAAATCTAAAAGTCCTTGTGATTTGATTATTTTGACTGACTTGACAAAAATCTCCAGAAGTGTCTTGCAAATTAAAGAAATTCCCCAACTTTTTAAAGTTTATGATGAGGTAGGGCTTGTAGTGATAAAGCAGATATCCTCTGGGACCAAGATACTGACAGGCAGTGAGGAAAGTGTACTCCCTTTCAGAGTGTGGATTTCCAGTAGATCATTTTCTTCAGGTTGATCTATTGGAACTCCAGGTTCAGGTGTCTTGTTCCTTCTGAAAGTCACCAAGGATAGAAATTTGTGTTTTCTCAGAAGACTTTTACTTCTGAGTCTCTTACTTGTGAGCACCAATACCTTCAAGTTTAGGCAATGTTGTAAAGTAGAAAAAGATTATCCTTCCTCTTCTTCCTCATCTTCCATACCTGATGACCTAATATTGACTACCCCACTGCCCAGAGATACTCCCACAGAGCCCAAGTCAAAACCTTGCACAGCCTGTCTCCAACCTCCTTCTCAAGCTTTAGTGCCACACATACCCTTTCTTTGTGTGATGAGTTAGCCAACCGTTTGCTCCCATCTCCTTGCCCTTGGATAGAGAGCCTCGTAATATAGGACAGAGAGCATAGGCTTTGAAGTCAGATTCAGCTCAGACCATGACTTCTTTGGTTTTGTGAATTTGAAAAAGTTCATATGGTGTCTTAGCTTTAGATTTCATATGTGTGAAAATAAGGCATACTGCTATGATTGGAATGTTCCAGGAGATGACTCTGAAGATTGAATAACTTAAAGCACCCGTCAATTGCCTGGTACATGATAAGCATTCAAAAAATGCTCACTTCCACTCTCCTCTCTACCAGGAATGTCCCTTCATCTGTCTCTGCCATCAGACTCTTACCACCTTCAAGGCCTTCCCTTAGCAAGTATTTAAAATCATTCTGTTTAAATAGATGTTTATAGTAGCTTTGCTCACAATATCAAAACTTGGAAGCAGCCAAGATGTTCTTTAGTAAGTAAATGGATAAATAAAACCTGTGATACATTATTCAACACCAAAAAGAAATGAACTATCAAACCATGAAAAGAGATGGCGGCATTTTAAAAGCTTATTATTATATGAAAGAAGGCAATCTGAAAAAGGTACACACTGTATGATTTTAACTATATGCCATTCTGAAGAAAGCACACTATGGGGACTACAACCATCAGTGGGTGCCAAGGGTTAGGAGACTGGGGAGAAATAAATAGGTGGAGCACAGGGTATTTTTAGGATGGTGAAACTGTTCTGTATGATGCTATAATGATGACATATGTCATTATTCATTTGTCAAAACCCACAGAATGAACAACACCAAGAGTGAACCTCAATGTAAAAAAAAAAAAATCACCTTATTGACTCATAATACTGCCAATGGATACAAGTCTTATCTCCCATACTTAGGCTACTTAGCTGGTAACCTTGAGAAAATTGCATTTGCCTTGCCAATTTTCAGTTTCTACACCAGTAAAATGGATATAAAAAAAGCTACAGCTCAGAGGTTGTTGCAAAGTTTGAATGAAAAAATGTATGTGAGTGATCAGCACCTGGCATAGAACATTGTAAGGAGTTGATCAGCATCAGTTTTTAATCTTGGATGCACACAGAAGGCAAGATCCATGTCGCATACTATATTATATATGTACTATATGTGTATTCATATATGATAGCAGAATAAAAGAATGACTAAAAGAAAAAAAGACTAACAAAGTCATCATATCAACCCTCTGACTCTCAGTAGTCCAGAGAAACAATACAAAAGAATCTGGTCTTCATGAAAACAGTTAGAAGGTATTTGGTCTCCCCACATATATAAACTTAGTGTTCTGTATATCAAGAAAAGCAAAATTCCCAGATCCTCTCCAGATATTAAAAGAAAACAGAAAATATCAAAAGGTCATTTGACCAATTGACTGTATAATGCACAAGTGTCATGTCTGGGAGCAGCTGATGATGCAACAGAAAGGTCTGTCCAATGCTTCTTTTATGTGGGGGGAGGATACCATACATGTAGTGATTATAGTGATTAAGTATGGGCTTGTACTGTACCCATCATCTGAATTGTGAAATTTCATCCCTCACCCACCCTCCCCCCCTCACCTTTTGTAATCTCCAGTGTCAGTTATTCTACTCCGTATGTTCATGCATATGTGTACCCATTGCTTCGTTCCCACTTATAAGTGAGAAACATCTGGTATTTGACTGTTTCTGTGTTATCTCACTTAGATAATGGCCTCCAGTTTCATCCATGTTGCTGCAAAAGACATGATTTCATTCTTTTGCGTGGAGATACACAC